TCACCTCGCCTCTCCCCACGTCCCCCTTTCTCTCGCGCGCGCGCGCGTTCTCAAGTTCAGCTCTTTCGGCGGCCGAGAACCGGGTCCCCTCTTCTCCAAAGAGGCCCCCCCGAATATTTATGTCACGGCGAGGCCCCGACGTGGGCCTTGACTGAACGCCGCGGGCGGTTCTCGTGCGTTCGCTCCGGCTCTGGGATCTTAGAAATTTTCGCTTCTCGAGTCACGGACGAAGGCCGCAGCCGGGACTTCCTAAATCGACTCGGCTGTAACGCCCCTCGCGGACCACGCTTGTCCTCCGAATGTGAGCCGCAAGGACCCTCTTGTTCCTTTCGTCGGACGCGCAGTTCGAGCGCCTGTTGACCCCTCGCGCTTTTTCGTCATTTTTACACCGCGCTGTGCCTCGACTCGCCGGTTTTAAACCGGGCCTCATTCTCTCTGCACGTTTTACCGCATCTCCCCGCACACATACTTCAATCAACGTTTCAACAAGTCTTCGAGAGCATTTTTAGATAAATCAATTGATAAGTTTAATCTCGTAAATCTCGCGCTTTAAGTTTTCTCCCATTCTTGCGGGAACTTGAGGCAGTTGGTCTGTCAAACTATTTTCTTTGGAATCTTTGTGAACCTGGGTCGTATATTGATAAAATCGTTATCTACACGTCTGTAAAGTTAGAAAATGATTGACCGCTCGGAAGCTGAGATATTCGTAATTGAAGGTGACACTTTTTATGCTTATCTCTTGAAGTTAATCTCCTATTTTTACTTCTATTTTTTATTTTTTCTGTCCTATTTTTACTTCTATTTTTTATTTTTTCTAACCTCATTTAAAATCTTTAAAAACTACTGTAATATTAAAGACTAATACAAATATATTATACAAAAATCTCGGAATTATTGACCATTTTATTTTGTTAAAATATAGCTATAAGAAATTTACAATTTATATACAGAAAAATGTCCTAAATTCCAGTAAATAATTACTCCAATACTCTTTAACAAATTTTTACATGATTTCGTTAATATTACTTGAATGTAGAAAAAATACTACATTCAAGTAATATTTACTTAAATCAAGTAAAAATCTGCTAAGAAATATTTGAATAATTATTTACTTGAATTTAGCACTTTTTTCTGTATAGTAACATCTATTATATATGTACATATGTATAAATATTTTTAAATATTTAAATATTTATATATCACTTTCTATTATGTATGTATCTTTACTAGCTCACAGAAAAAAGAAGTAACTTTCACAGCTGAAAATTACCTTTCCGTATAATGTAACCGAAATTTAGTTAATTTAGATAATCCTTTTTGCCTATGTACTTAGTTTTTAGCTCCCACGGCTAAAACTAGACCTGATAACTAAATTTATTTCAGTATTACATGGACAGCTAATTCCTTTTTCTATGCTCAACTGTATAACTCGTATAAATAACGCATTAATAAGAAAACTAGAGAGCGAACAATATCTCCGTGTTTGTTAATATTGTGTGTATATACTTATCTTAGTTTTCGTGAAAATTAACATTTATTACTTAGATAGTTAAATAGAGTTATAAGAAGGTATGTTTTTCAGTATATAATAAACTTTAATATCGCCACGGAAAATCCAACACTCTAACTACCTTAACGATTTCGAAATAAGTCGTCGTAAAAGTCGCTGAAATGTTACGAGTGTCGCAGTCACCAGCGTGTAAGACCGGTGCCTGCCTACGAAAATCGAAGCACGGCCGACAGTTAAAGAGACGGAAGCGTTCGACGACCTCGGCGGGAAACCGCGGAAAACGCGCGAAAGTCGCGAGTCGGGGACGGTTACGCGGCGGCGGCCGGTTGAAAGAAAGAAAACACTTGCACTTTCGTTAGAAAGTCTCGCGAATCAGCTCCGCCATCCGTGGCAATCGCGTCGGCCACCTGCGCTGTGAACCGCATTAGCGGCGCGACAGTTTGTCCGACCAAACGCGGTACGTTACTACTTGCCTCGCCCTAAGCCCTTTAAATCCCTTCCTAAATTCTCCTCCCTTGCACGAAACCTCTCCTCTCCTTTGTACGCCAAATCATATGTTACGAATTTTCACGAGAAAAATAATATGTCGTCTTCAAGCGATACACGGACAAACGAATCTCGATCTCCCGTCCTGAAACGTTCATCTTAACTCTCTGTTGAATCTTGAAAAGTAATTTTATCGAGTTGCACGGACGCAATCAGACGCGTTGCTGAGCTGACATCAGTTCCACACTCGACGTCTTATAATAGAGATATCCCGGATGATGTGACAATACGCAGATAAGACTTCGGTTCGCGGCGGATCGATTACATCAGAGGCTGACGAGGCACGACACTGATAGCGGGTGGGCTAAAAAATGATTTTCCGTGTTATATATATTTGGATAGCTCTGCGCGATAGATAGGCGGCTGAGCGTCGCTACCGAAAATGAGGAAAATGAGGAAAAAAAGACTTTGGAATGTTTTTACTTTCAAATAGTCAACTCCGAAGTTAATGTTCTCGGTTTCTCCGTGCAAACACGAGAGCCGTCTATTCGCGCGGCAATGCGCATTAGACGTATCGACAAAAAACTGCAAATCGCGTCATACGTCATGCGCGTCGGCGTGACTACAAACGGTCATTAATTACTCCTTAATCTAACGTTCATAGGCGCATCGTATTATTAGCGATACGTGATAACGAGCCGATTGCGTCGCGTTGCGTAGTTGCGAGAACGCGTTTCCCGTTAATTCCGAAACCATCGTTGATTTCCCCGGCATTGCAAATGACTTTGGCTTCGCGAGCAAATTGAGGTCGCGTCTAATTAATATGAGCCGTGCGCGCGTTTCGAGACCAGCGCAGAGGAGAAAATCGTGAGGCCGACTTTTCGAAAACCGCGATGTAAATTCAGAAAATATCGGCGAATCTCTCGTGTGTACGTAAATTTCACAAAGACCGGGGCATTTTAGTCAGTTCCGAAAGATGTTGCTGTAGGTTTGCGAAATTTCCTTTCGCATTTGCGACGATGCATATTCGACCGTCACCGATAACGAAGACGATCAAGCACGCGCTGACCCAGCCAGAAATGATCGACTCGACGTCGATGCGTCGATAAATTGTCGATGTCGAATACCAGTCAATATTTTTGTCACTTTCCACGTTATAACAAATATTGTTATAACAGTATTTATCATTATATTATATTATGTACAACAGCTATTCATTATGAGATGAGAAGTTGCAAAAGATAAACGGTCTTTTTTTATTTAAATAAAATAACATTAGTTTGTTCTATCTCGTTTATATCTGCGTAATTTTGTTGTGAACGATATTTTGTAACTACAATAACTAATGTCGATGACTGGTCGAAATTGCAGTCCACATTTACACGGTAGAAAACATTTTGTAGTTGTGCTAAAATCGGTCCTTGTTAACATTTCTTTCTTAAGTTTTTAACATACTCGTGTGTCAATTTAACATATTACGTTATCTCAATATTTTGTGTTGAGTCAATACTCAACATGTGTGAGTGTCAAAATGACACATTTTATACTTTAGTGTCGATTAACATATCATGAATGTTTTAATTTTGTGTTCATCTTTGACATAATATTTCTTATTTTTCAACATATTCACCTTGTATTAAATTAACCGAAAAATTTGTGTGGGCCGTTTGGGACATGTGAAATATATTAAATTTAACACCAAATTATTTACAGTGTAGGCTGAATGGACTGCAAATTTCGACCGTCGATCGGCCACTATAATTGATGTCGGCCGGACTTTTCTGGCTGGGAGAAGCCGCGTCCCAAGAGAGTATATCCCGTTAGACGTATATCGGAGAATCCAGCGCGTTTTCGGATTTTGATTTACGGCACTTTCGAAGGCGAACAGGCCGCGTGTGCGCGAATCGTGAGCGAATCGAAAGTCGCCGTCATAAAAGCGACGATTTAGATGGCGACGCGCGTCTAAAGCGCCCGGAAAACACATGTTTCCCGTAGACACGTCCTCCTATATTACACTTAGTCGTACGCCGAATGCATTCCTGTCCGAGCTCACACCTACGCGGCTGCACCGAACCGTGCGTGCGTGCGTAAGTACGCACGCGTGTAAGTCGCGTGTGTACGCTACCGGGTCGTCGCCGGAATATAGAACGCGTTAACACGCGTCGGGAACACGCGCGCGCTCCGTTCTCGCGCGCCGTGCTTCTCTTCTTGGCACGCTTTTGGGATGAAAACGGCATCGTCGAGAACCGACGTCGTCTTGTTGCTCGCTCCATTGCTCGCGGCACATTCGCTCGGCTAATATAAACCGCTCATAAAAACGCTAATAATCGCGAGATTACTGCGCATTAATGACGTGATTATTTCGATGAAAGATGAAGCGATGGCGGCTCCCTTTAATCGCGCGACTTTCTCTCTGTCTCGTAAATTCGTAATTCGCGCATCGCTTTGTCGAAAATGTCAAGGGACATCCCGCGGCGCGTAGTTGGCGCCTTCCTAATTCCTCCCGCCTGACTTTCTAATCTCACAGATCACGTTCGATAGTCCAATGACCGTCATCCTCTCCTCGTGAGAGAATGACGAAGGTGTTGGCGCGATCGACGGTGCGAAAAGCGAAGGGGCAGGTGACATACGCGATTTTCGACGCGCGCAATCGAACGGTCGCGTTCGCGCGGCCACACACACACACGCGCGCCACATACGTACACGCGTGTGCCGCGACTCGATGGCCGTGGCTATGGCCTTACGATTCCCCCCCTCTCTCTCTCCCTCCCTCTCTCTCTCTCTCTCCCTCCGTTCCGAATCGCGGGCGCAGCGCGGCAGGAGCGAGAGGTTCACGACGACAGAGATGACGAGGTTTGAGCGAGCAAGAGAGAGAGAGAGAGACGCGTCGTGGAGTCGCGGGTGAGAGGCAGGCGGGACGGGAGTGAGAGAGAGGGAGAGTGTCGCGAGCGTGTCTAACCTAGGATAGTGGCGTTTAGTGGCGGCTAGGCTAGGCAAACCGAGACTTACCGCTCGCGCGTCGCGTTCAGTGTTCCGCGCGCGCCTCCGGCCGGAGCCTCAGCTTCTCGCGTACTCGTCCGCACGTTGTGCCGAGTCAAGTTCTCTCAACAACCCCCGTGTGACACTGCGACCGAAGAGAGCGAGAGGGAGGGATGAGCGGGTGAAAGAGGATCTGAGGTTCTCTTTTCGCTTCCTTGTTTCTTCCCCCGCGTGCCGCCCCGCGGAGTGCGATTCGGAGCATTCGGTGTGAAGAGGAAGACAGAGGAGGCGGATGGTTTTATTCACCGGAGAGCGTGTTATCTCTCGGAGATGTTGGACGGAGAGATCGGTGGGATTTTGAACAGCGTCTGTCGCACGGACCGTGGCGGGGCCGGGGTGAACAGTGTCAGCGATAGAGTTGAAAGGTTTCACGCGATCGACCGCGCGGACTGGGAGTGAGCGAATGCACGGAAGGGACAGTGCGGGAGAAGTGAGAAATTCGACTCGGACTGTTCTCGTTTGTGCGAGGGGAATCGGCGACGCGTCCGCTCTCAAGCTCGGACTGGGACACTCGTTCAACAGAGCGGCGTTCAAGTCACGGTCGGAGTGAACTCGAGTTATCACCGTCCAGGCGATATCGAGACGGCGGTCGCGTTAGATGAAACTTTCCGCGCGCTGGTTCCGCATTGCCCTCGCGCACGTGACAGCGTCCACCGATCTCGCAGACACCGCGCGGGCCGAGGGTGGAAGAGATCCTCCCGTGAACGGCGGTCACCGTCACATTGCTCGTTTTCGCTGAAAAGATCGCTCCCCCCGAGGGGCAGGCAGCCAACGCGTGTGTGGGTGGACGCGCGACCGCGTGCGTGCGTGCACCCGCGCGTGATGCAAGTCGCGTGGGCTGTCGCAACACGCGCCGGTAAATAATCGCGACGTATTTCGCGCTCGTCCGCTTCTCTTTTTCTATCTTTCTCTCGGGAACAAACTGCCGCGAGGGTGGGAAGACCCGTCGTCTCGCAAGCTAGTAGGGAACTCGCACGGTGGTTAGTGAGTGCGGAAGGAATCAGGTGCGTTACACAAGCCATCGTTCGGGGACGATCGACCGCGCTTCACTTCCTCTTCCTCGAGTCCCGTGCAGAAGTAGACAGGACGACAGGTAAGGGACTCTTTTTTTTTTTTCCGTCCTTCAATCACGCCTGGTTTGTTATTTCGAAACTTTTGCGTAAGATATATATCTGTAACCGCGCGTTCGTTTAATTGTCGCGGAAGCGATCGATAAAAAGTGCGACGGAGGAGTAACGTAGAATAATAATTTTCCGGTAGAGAATTTAGAGCAACCTATATTACTGTTTTGATTTGCATAAATTTTCTTCAAATCGCACAATCAACGCTCATGCTGGCATAAAGGATACTCGAGAAACTGTTTAAAAAATATTTAAGAATCTGGTCAATTTGTAACGGCGTAAATATAAGATTATATATATTTGTTATTAGTATGTATAATCAGTTACAAAAAAGGTCACAACAACAACAACAACAACAAGGTGAATATGTTGAAAAGTAACACGAACATTACGGCTAAAATAACAAAATTCATATCCATAATATGTTAATCGACACGCTAAAATATAAAATGTGTTGTTTTAACATCTATACTTGTTGACTATCAAGTCAATACAAAATATATTAAGATAACATGCGTGATATGTTAAATCAACGCACGGGTGTGTCAAAAATTTTACACAAAAATGTTAACAAGGACGGATTTTAACGCAAGTACAATATGTTTTTTTTTTTACTTTACAGTAGTTATTCGTATTTAATGAAAACGATTGAAGGCTGTAACGCAGTACGAAAGGCCCGCGAAACTTCGCTCGATGAATCCGAACGCGGAGAGGCCGTAGCCGTCGGCCAACAGCCCCTGAGACGGGACTCGAATCCTCGCGCAAAGGTTAAGCCGAGCGGCCGTGACAGTTAAAAGCGGCGGCGGCGAAGCGCCTCGCCCACGCGCTATCGTTCGCGCAACGTGATGCGACGCACGGCCGTCGCGCGCGTGGGACACGCGCCGCGTTGCGCTCGCAGGCACGCTGCGGAATAGCGAAAGAGGAGGAAAAGGAGAAGGTAGAGGAGGCAGGCGGCCGGTTTGATAGAGGCGAGACGCGCGGCGATCGAATAGCCGGGCCGCCGTGCGTTACTTAATAGGAACCTTTTCGTCGAGCGAGAACCAAACGAGCGAACGGACGGATGAACGAACGAATGGACGACAAGACTCGCCGTGAAAATAGACGACTCCAGACTCGGTAATCGCATACGATCGAGGAAGTGATCGCGAGCATTACGCCTCGGTACGCCGCAGAGTATTGATTTACATAGAAATCGCCGGGACCCCCTGGGTGTACGCTTACTTCGCGCGACGTTTCCACCCAGGGATGCTTAAATTCGATCGGGTGTATCGGCGCTTTTACTCCTCATTTAGCCGCGAGTCTCTCGTTTGATGCTTCGGTTTCCGCTCGGAGGAACGCCATCGAGATAAACCGCGCGATAGAATCGGCTTCATTGTTCACTCGGAAAATTGATTTCGTCGTGCGACTCAACTTGGCTTAACCACGCATCTTCTTCTTTTTAATTCGCCACACTTTCGGCCCGTGAGACTTTATCGTCATTTTCATTCTAATTAATATTTTCGAGTTCGTAATATGCGAATTGGAAGTACAGAGTACAGAATAAGATGTTTATGGTATCAGGTCGAAAAAATGATTTGAGTTTAAACGTGCGTACCAGTGTATTTCGTTATTATTGTGAGAGAAAGGATGTTTTCGGAAAAAAGTTCTCAAGTAGTTTTGAAAATGCGATTTAAAAAGAAAGTAACGTTCGTTGCAGCGGATATTTGATAGGAAATCTTTAACGCTTAAGAAAAAAAAAAATAGTATGCTGTATGAGAATTAGAAAACTGAAGAAACTTTCAACGATCCGCCGGACCGGAATGTGAGACGAGTCAGGGTTAATATTCCGCTACAGTTTCCCAAGAAATATTAGCACTCTTTCGTAAAATATTGTTAATAACAAGTTTACTAAAAGTAGACTAAGAAGCTGAAAAAGAAATGTGGTACGTGAATTCCCTCATCTCGGAGAAAAGAAATATATAGACGTGGGTAGCTTGAACGAACAGGAACTTGCGGAACTCTTACACACACGCACGCACACAGCGCTCAAGAGGGAGAGAGAGATCCGACTATATTTTATACAAGTATTTTCAGCCTAGGCCAACCTTCGGCCCTCGAGCGGCGGTTCCCCTTCCTTTCCGATTTGTTTGAGGCGTCTGCGGTTGGCTCACAAACACAGGATACCTGTCTCGACTCTCTAATGTAGTTAAGAGGTTTACAGTAAACCGGCGGTTCTTCTATCTGTCCTTTCCTGCGATTGAGCACTTCATCTCTTCGTCCTCTCTCTTTCGAATTCACATATTTAATATTTTCAGAAAGCCGACTGAACGTGTTTCTAACTAGTGTGATCTATCCCGCTGCACAGTAAAAAAATATTTTATACTTGTGTTAAAATTGGTCTTTTTAAAATTGGCAAAAATTTTGGTGTTATTTTTTAACATGCCCGTGTGTTGATTTAACATATTGTATTTACGTTATCTTGATATATTTTATATTGAGTCGATATTCAACATGTGTAAGTATTAAAATAACACTTGTATATATTAAAATAACATATTCTATATTTCAGTGCCGTTTAATATATTAATTTTATTAATTTTTGTATTAACTTCTGACATAATATTTGCGTTATTTGTATTAAATTAATGCTAAAATTTGTTTGGACCGTTGGGGACATATGTTAAACTTAACACAAAAATTTTTTGCCGTGTGAAAAGCTCGAAAAATTGAAGAAAGTTTTTTTTTTGTCCGATGAATTTTAGTTGGAAGACTCGCACACATACAAACGAAATAAACTACAGTTCATTAACTATCAGTATCGTGCAATTTTGCAAGACAACTTTAGACGTTTATTTTATTTGGAGGAGAATTACTGATTATTAATAATATTTTCAATTTAGATACCACAGACTAATAAATCTGAATGCCGGCCATAAAAAAATCGATCGAATCACGTCGGGGTGTTTTAATCAGTCTTGACATTAACAGGACGGTATAGTAAACTCCACTGCCTTATTCTCTCTCCCAGTTCCCGCTCTCTCGTTCCTCGTCGAGCTGTTACGTGGCGACCTTCGTGGCGCCCAGGGCCGAGGGCCAAAACCGTCTGTTGTGTGTTTAGTATTGCGCCGTTACACGTTCGATAAATATTGCGATGGCAAGCGCCATAAGGGCCCCGTATACGCGCGTGGAACCTTGAGACCACGTGGACTCGCCATCACGGTCGTCGTCCTCGTAAATCGGAAATCGTTCCCGAATCCTGACCACCGGATAAAAGTCCGCGAAACTGCGCGAGAGAATATCTCGTCTCGCGGAGAACGTTCGACGAGTCGAGGAGGAAGTAAAAAGTTGAAAGATCGAAAACGCATCGCGCAAAAATCGCGAAAGATTTGCAGATAAGAGGAAAACGCGCTTGACGTTTTTCCCCACTTGAGAATCCTCCTTTTGGAAATGCCGTTAAAACATTTCATCGTAAAAAAAAGACACATCGTAAAAAAGACTCGTTCCGTATTATTCTCGAAGTAGAAGTGTCTTTCAAGTTTTGGACAAGATTGCGGAGTTTCTCTCGGATCGTAAGAGAAAGGCGTAACCGCGCGCGCAATCGGCGTTTCTCTCGTTCGAGCGTTTTATTCTCCCGGAAAATCCGCCGTATCACAATCAAGGCGCGACTCGTCGCGCCGTATTTTCGTCTTTATGTACCTTGGCAGCGAATTGCACGCATCGTACGCACAGACGACCCTGAAAGGCCCGAACGCCGCATGAATGTTTAACCGTCATCGCGCACGATCGCGCGCAAATCCTATTCCGCGTTCGCACACTATCGCCGATTGTACGGGCGGTGCGTTGATAGTCAATAACATCGTGCTTGTCGGCCGCCAGGTGTATGTATGTATTTCCTCATGTACGTCGAAACAGATCGTCGTCCCTGAAACACCACGTGGACCATCGCGTGTATTTCGCGCGAAGCCGAATCAAAATTTCGTTTCATTTCTATTCCTATTCGCGTCGTCGTCTCTACGAAGATTTTCTCTCTCTCTCTCTCTCTCTCTCTCGTAAACGTGCGTACAGTGTATTTCGTTCCACGATGTTTACTCGCTGATGAGTTATTGTGCGCAATAATAATATAGTCGGTATGGCGCTGCAGATACGCAGATTTGGAAGAGATAATTCCTTTCGCCTGGTATCTAATTTTCGGAATACACGATACGAGAATAGAGAGCAAGATAAAATAAACATCTCTATTATTGTCTCACGCGCAAGACCGTGGAATCGGTATTTTTAACGCTGCACATACCAGCGCGAAGTGGAGGGAAAGAAAGGCTTTTCGCAGAAATTACTTTTTCTCTAAAATCACAATTTTACGTTAATTCTCTTTATATCGTTATCTTCGCAATGAGGCAAATTTTCAGTATTAACTTTGAGAATAACACGCGTAATTTTGAATCTCAAGTAACATTATAGGTCTCTCAGGCCTACATTACAAAAAGAATGGTAAAAATCGTGTTTTGCTTGTCTTCTGAATTATTAAGTTTAACCATTTTTATTTATCGACTTTATAAACTGGTTGCCGCCAGGAAACCAGTTATTTAATCAGACCGGTAATAGTAGTGATTAATTTTTTTCGATTATACGTTGAAAAAAGGATTTGGTAATAACTATTAAAATTTTGTTTATATTAGCTGACCAAATATTTGATTACTGCAAAACTAAATGCGGATTTGCGGAACTAAACTATTTGGTTACAATGATCAAATATTTGGTAAATATTCACCAAATTTTATTATCAAATATTTTTTCAGCGTACACCGAGAGAAATCATAGTTATTTTCGGTTTCAACTATATCTTTTTTACGATTTTCTAATCATAAAAATAGTAATAGCAATATACATATAAAATTATTATCACTGATATCAATGATATTGCAGTAACATATCAGAATAACTGGTCTTCCTGACTATAATTCTTTCTCACTACGAAGATTATAGTTACAAATAC